GAACTATGAAAAATAAGGTTTTTCCATATGACTTGGAAACAGAAAAAGAATTTGGATTGGATGTTCTTCAAAGTTTTTCCTCATAATAAATTCTGATTCCACTATTTGTCCCAAGTTACAGTAGGAATAATAATTAATGTGTGAGATTTTACTATCTACCAGGCACTGTTCTAAGCAATTTATGCGTATGATTTAATTTTCCAAAAAAATCTCCATGAGGTTGCACTATAAGATAGAATAATAATTGCCATTATTATTATTATTATTATTATTATTAAATGTCCAAAGGCAACTAGTGATTTATTAGAGATTGCAAATAGAACATTTTTTAAGCAAAATGTATCAGAACATTTCATTCACTGAAAATTTCCTTTTTCCTTATGAAATCCCAATCGCTTATACATCTGTGCAATGAGATGATTGCTTGAAAAGTGATTTATTTTCATTTGGAAACCAGTTTTTACAGTCCTTTGAATGGTGTGGAAGAGTTAGCTGCTCTGGGTAGGCTTCCCAGGAAGTACTTCGGTGGGCAGGCTATAGACCCGTGTGCACCTGTGCCAGGGTCAGGGAAGGAGGATTCAGCAGAGGGACTGTACCTGGAGCTGGGATAGCCCTTCACTGATGCTCTGATGATTGAAGCCAGCTGCCCAGGTGCCCAGAGATGGTTTCCATCTGTCAGCAGCATTCCCAGCTGGGAGTGAATCAGAGATGGAACAGAGCAAAACAGGATGGAGAAAAGTGTAGTAATGTTTTCTAGGCAAACCCAAAAGGAAAGAAATCATTTTTAGGCATAAATCCAAAAGAAAGGAAGACTGGATAAGGAGACAACAACCCAAACCTCTTAGAAACTAGAACAAAAATTGGTGCACAGTAAAGGGTTTGTTGAAACCTTTGCTGACACAACAGGGGGAACCCAGCAAACCAGATTCACATCCCAGATGTTCCAGACACAGGGACTCAGGGCAGTCAATACTGTGGAAGAAGCAGCAGCAAGAGCATAAGGTGGAAAGTGGAAATCTGTTTAGAAGCCATCAGATCTCCACAGCCAATACCTGCCCCTCCCAACCCAGCCGTTGCCCTCCTTCATCCCAGAGAAGGACTACTGCCTATGTCTTGATGCAGGGAGGACTAATTTTTGGAGATGGTTGGAGAAAGTTGTTGGGTTGGGTGCCACCAGGAGAGGTAGAGTGAGGGAACCAAAATGTGGGTTAAAAGAATGTGTGCATGCTGGTTGGAGATTCCCTCATCCCTGTGGTCTTCTCCCATTTGGTTCTCAGAAAACTGACAGCACAGCCTTTGCTCTTCTGGACAGAAAACTCCAGATGTATTTTGGCAAATCTGACCGACGTAAAGGGAAGAAATGCACAAATGTCTCCATATTAACAGTTCAGACGGGTCCCCTTCCCCAGCCCCTCACAACCCTGCCTAGGTGTCCAGATTGCAATGCAATTCAATCAAGAATGCACAGCCTTCCCACTTAAAAAAAAAAAAAATAAGAGAGAAACAAACAAACAAAAATGGCTTGGAGTAAAGGGAGGAAATAAAATATGAAAATAAAAGTGCTCCAAATATCTCTGCGATAAGAGGATATAATGCAACTGTGCAATGAGACCAGTCAATTCAAAGAAAAAAAAAAAGAAAAGAAAAGAAAAGAAAAGAAAAGAAAAACCCAACATTCAGAGTACATAAAAGAGCTCTTGGAAATTAAAATGTGATAGAAAAAAAAAACTCAATAAAATCATTACACGATAAAGCTCACCGAATCTTCCTGAAAGTAGAGCAAAGAGATGAAACGGCATAAAGTAAGAGAGATGAGATAAGAGAATTAAAGGACAGGTCCCAGGGCCCCAACCACTGAAGGTGGGATTCATGCTTGGAAATCTGAAGGAGAAGAATTTCTGAACAAGAATTCCATGCTCAGCCAAACAATTAGATACAAGGTAGAATAAGCACACTTTTAAGCAGGCAGCATCTCACAAATTCGTTCCCCTGAGCTTTTCCTTAGGAAGATCCTAGATGCCGTGGTCCACCAAGTCGAGAAAGGATGTAGATAGCAAACCCACGGACAGAAGCTATAAGAATCCCCCATGAGGGCGTTCCCTGAGGCTGTTGGGCCTGTAGCTGGCTTCTAGGCATCAGAGCAACAGGTCCAGATGGGAAAAAGACTCTAGGGGATAAATCTGATCAAGCGCCCTATTCTGCTGAAACAACTGGGAAGTATTTGGGGTTTGAAGTAGTAAGTATATAGGAAACTGTAAGAAAGTAGTTACCTCTAGGAAAACCAGAGCCGTAAGGCACAGAGAACTCACGTTTCCTGCATGTCTGAGTTAAGGATTGTTTCTGTAACATCCTAATAAAGGGAGTCTTGTTGAACGTACTACCATGCTGGCCAGGGGGTATATATGAGCTGAAGAATGAATATTATTCCCGATTATGTTGCCATCACTTGTCCTGGGGGAGGGGGGCAGTCTATAAAGACGAAAGGTGAGAAAAAAATCAAGACAAGCATCAAACAGGTTATTTACAGAAATGTAGCTAAATACAGAAACAGCAAAAAGAGGTTTGAGTATTTGCCTCTGAAAGGGAACAACTGGGGATGGGGGAGGTGGAGGCATTTTTAAAGAAAGAGCTTGTGGAATTATTTGATTATTAATATATATGCATGTATAACTCTGAAAAAAATCTTATTAAAAGGATGAACAAGGGGAAAAGAAATAGGATGAATTTTATCGGTTGGGAAGAAGAGTACATTTATTGGCCTGAATGAACTGCCTTATTCTTTCTGAAATGACTTTAGTTACAAATCAGCAAAGTAGCTTCTGAGCGGGTTTGGAAGAGCTTCTTATTTGGATGAAATTGTTAAATATATTCTCATTATTAGCATTCTAAAATGTTATCTAAGTGACCTTTAGATTTCTATTCTTATAATCTTACCTATAAATTCTCTTCATAGAATATAATTTTGGAAAACATAAACTTCGATAAATGATTAGTCTACTAGTGAGATATCGTATATGAAAAAAGAAAATATCGTACGTTAAAAATGTCGGAGCTGCAGACCTCATTAATTCAGTTTTTTTTCCATATTCTATCTAGGAGAAGGTGAAGTTTACCTTTGAATGCCTAAGAAGAAATGAATATTGTAAGCATCATTATAAGGATATCTTGGTCATTTCTTTAAAAGAAACTGAAGATTGCAGTGTATAATATCTTGTTTAATAGAGTCTCTTTTTTTAAACAAATATATATTGAGTGTATTTGTGTAATAAATGCTTTTTAAGGATCTATTTTGTTCAAGCATTCTACTATGTTGGGAACAGAAAGCCAAAATACATAGTTCTTGCTTTTAAGGTGACAGGTGAATAAGGAAACTGACCTAAAATTAACAACTGTGCTGAAAAGGACAGATAACAATTACTGCTTTGAGGAGGTACACAGAAGGCACTAGCAGCCCCCGAGTATAGACTTCACAAGGGATTTTCAGGGGAGCTGAACTAGAAGCATAGGTGAGAGTGAAGTCCATGAGTGGATGGGGAAAATTCCAGGAAGAGAAACAGCTGGGGCAGTGGGGACCGTATCCTGTGTTCTGGGAGGATGTCTGGAGCACTGGTCAAGGAGTCTGAAGAGACAGGAAAAGTATTTTTTTTAAATATTTATTTATTTATTTGACAGACAGAGATCACAAGGAAGCAGAGAGGCAGGCAGAGAGAGAGGAGGAAGCAGGCCCCCCGGCTGAGCAGAGAGCCCGATGCGGGGCCTGATCCCAGGACTCTGGGATCATGACCTGAGCGGAAGGCAGAGGCTTTAACCCACTGAGCCACCCAGGTGCCCCCAGGAAAAGTATTTTAGATTGCATTATGTAGGTGGATGCAAGGAGACACTATTAATAGCTATTATTATTAACAGTTGCCAAAACTTTTCAAATTGATTCTCTACACTAGGCTCTAAGCCAAGCTCTTTCCCTACAAAATCTTATTTAATCCTTATAACTACTCTATCCTCGCTTTTAAAGTTTCAAGTTTAAGGGTAGCATAGTAAAATTTGTGTAGAAACTTTATTGTAACACTCTTGAGAAAATGTTGCTGTCAAGTTTAAAAAAGATACAGAGTGGTTTATGTAGCTACTTAACATTTATATATAATAGAGCAAGTAGCAAGATTGGAAAGATAGAGAGAAGGTGTGTTATTCTTTTCATCACTTTGAACATTTCTAAAATATCCATTAAGCCATTTAAAATAAGAGCAATGTCTTATGGTAGAGGAACAGGGGAAAGGAGAAGGGGGAGAGAGAAGAGATTCCTTGAGGAGGGGAGAGAAGAGAGCGAGCGAGACACATTCACAGGAAGGCAGCCTGGAGGGAAGGTTGGAAACAAAACGCCGAGGACACTCGTCCCACAACGGCCCAGGCACAAGATAGGTATTCGTCGGTAGGATCCAAATGGAAGAATAAGGGCAATATTTGCAAAATGAGTCCAAAGGACATGGTCCCCCTTTGGATGCTTGGGTGGCTCTGCTCGCTCCCCCAGGAGAGCCAAGGCAGGGCGAGGAAGTGGTGAGGACAGGCGGTTCCCAGAACTACCATCCGTGGGGTTGGACTTAGCTCGAGTAGTTCCTGCTCCTCTGTGCGCGGCCTCACGCAATCTCATTCCCGGTGAAGAAAAGGGGACGTGGCACGACCTCGCTCACCGAGCTGACTCAGAACCTCGGGTTCTGCATTGCGCCCTCATGAAGCCTTCCGTCCTAAATTCATGAGGACCCAGAATGTCCCCCGGCGCGACCTCCAGAATCCCAGGGGGCACGGGGAGGAGCCTGAGCGCGCGGGTCTGAGGGCACAGAGGAGCCGGCCTCCGGGTGGTCGCGGACTCGCTCCCCCTTGCCAAACGCCCATCGGCGCGCGAGAAGCTGGGGCCGGGCCGTCCCCGCGGCGGCCCGTCTGGACGCGGAGCGCCTCCCCGCAGCCCCGCCTCGCTTCTAACCGGGCCCCTGTCTTCGTCCCCCCAGGGCTCTACGAAACCTTTCTCACCGCCGAGGACCCCGCGTGCTGCGACGTCCGGAGAGAGGAGCGCCCGAGCCAGCCCCCGCGAGGGACGCGGGGCCCCGGCAGCCCGGGCCACAGGACGTCGCTCGCGGCGTCGTCGGCGGGCAGGCCGGGCCCCAGCAGACTGAGGCTGTGCGTGCTCGTGCTCATGCTGCTGCACACCGTGCTGGCGGCCTCCGCGGCGCACAACGGCACGGCGCCGGGCTGGGGCGGCCCGCACGCGCTGCCGGAGCCCTCGCCGCGCGACGAGTAGCCGCCGCCCGCCCCGCCGCCCGCCCCCGCCGCCGCCCGCGGGCCCCCCGCGGCAGCGCGGACCGAGGAAGCCGGCCCGGGTCCGGACGGGGTCGCCCCACACGGCTTTTTATCGACGAAAGGCTGTCCAGTGACTTAAATTTCTCACACCATTTTATACACTGTGTTTTAATGTTTGGAGGTTTTATTTGCTTTCCCTTGGTTCGGGTTTATTTGTTCGTTGATTTTTTTGCACTTGTTAATACAGGATTTATTTTGGGGGATGGTTTCTCAGAGGTCAACTCAGTCTCCACCGTCTCTTTCTCTCTCTCTCTATATATATTTCTAGTCATCGTGTGTGTTCATCAGGTAGCTCTGTCTCTCTGTCCTGTCCGTTTCTATTAGAGGAATGATCGCTATGACCTCACGGTGTAGCAAAATACAACAACAACAACAAAAAAATCATAAAAGATAAAAAAGACAAAAAAAAGAAAACAACAAAAAAAAAACCCCCCTCGAACTCTTCGCTCCTGCCTCCCAGGCCTCCCGGCTGGCCTCCCTGGCCTCCCCCCTGCCCCCCTGCCTCTCCCCTCCGCCCTGCCCCCCCTGGCCCCCGCCCTCCTTACCCCCCGCCCCCCTCCCCCCTGCCCCGCCCGTCCCCCGCAGACAGCACGGCTTGCTTCTGTCTGTCTGCGCAGCCGCAGTTTGGGCGCACGCCCCGGGCCGGGCCGCAGTGGCCCCCTGACCCCCGCCGGGAGCAGAACTAGGGGTTCCTTTTTAGCTGAACAAACAAGCGCTCTCCACGGTAGGCGGAATCAGACAGTTAACACATTTTTTTACGTTGACGACAAAATAAAAGCAAAGAAAACCACCACGAACTACGTTGCTCCAGCTCCCCTCCCGAGGCCCTGTCCCTCCTTGCTGGTGGTCCGGTGGCTGCGGCCGCCCTGAGCCCCGAGTCAGGACGGGGGCGCGTGTTGGCGCTGGTGGGCCCTCAAACGGCGACGAAGGGACCGAGGACACGCAGCTGGGTTCTTTCTCCTCCTCGGTGGCTGTGGGGGAGACCGTAGAGACGCTCCGACACCTGCAGTGTAGACACTATAGAATTTTAGCCCAGTATCTCCCAACCTATGATTTTCAATTATTCCAGGTATAAAGTGTATGCAATTCTGCATTATCACAAAAGAACTTGTTTAAAAAAAAATAGGTTAGCCATTTTCATTCAAGCGCAAAAATTTTGTCACTTCGAACACGCTCTAGGTAGTCGATGAGAAGAGGAGAAATCAGATCGCTCTGTTTGTATTTTTTCTTTTTGTGGGAACATTTCACCTGCTGAGTGTGTATGAATTTGCTTTCTAAAAAAGGCTTTTATGAGTTTACAGTAGAATCAGTGGAAGGAAGAGTTCATAAGGGCTGTTTTTAAAAAAACAAACAAACAAAACAAATAATTAAAAAAAAAAACAACACTTTACATTCCTTCCTATACTCTAACTACATTTGGGAAGTGCTCTTCAGATGTGTTTGCTGTGTAGCTGGGAGATGAAGGAAAACCATAGAAAAGGTCCTCGTAGCGAACAAAATTTAGTTATTAACTTTATAGCTATGAAATTCCCCCGGTATTTGTTTTTGTTCAAACAAACTTTAATCTCTGCATCATACTTAACCCTGCGACATGCGTACAGTATGCATATTTTGTTTTGAATAAAAAAAATGTTTTGTTCCAGTCTGTTAAGAATATTCAAAAATAATAAAGGTATTGCTTAATAAAATTGCTAGAATTGTTTAGCAGTACATGCACAAATATTTTACTAGATTCTTCGTTTTAATAGTGTTTTGTTGAGACTGAAAATCCTAAAATGGTCTGCGCAAATACAAAAAAAAAAAAACACCAAAAATGCAAAATTCTCCAGTTTTTGTTCCTTTTTTAAAAATCGTTTTTTTTTTTTTCATGAAAATGTCAACAACACGTTCACAACTGCACACATACGCACATAACACGCACAGTATTTTTAATTTATAGAAATCCAGTGCTATTTCTGGGGCCCCAAGTGGATGGGAAGAGGCTTGGGGGCATTGAGTTGTGGCAAGTGTTAAACACTGGGAGAAATGATCATGTTCAAAGACCCTTCCTGGTGGGCCACAGATTTTGGTGGAGTTGAGGGATGACAGAAGTTGGGGAGCAGTGGTGAGTGGAGGGTGAAGGGGTTCTGACTCCTAACAAAAGACTTAAGGTGAGCTCCTTTTCAACTCACCTCTTAAAGGCTTTAAGATACATAGCCAGGAAAAAGTCTGTTTTGACCTTCCCCTACCTCTGCCAGACAAAGGCCAAGCCCCGGGCCATTTCTTCAGTGTCCCCCATGCTTCTTTTTGCTCCAATGGGAATTTCCATCCTTTGGAAAAATGACAAATCAACACAGATGCAAATTCCACCTACTCTCATGACAAGAAGTTACTATTTCTAGACCCTGGGCAAAATGATTAAAAACAAAAACCAAAAAACAGTATCCCATAACAAACAGGGTTTCATTTTCTCTTAATATCTTTTGCAACTGGTTACAATTCTTTTCAAATATAGAGGTTGGAAGATTCCACTGGGCCATGTTTTAGCTTTAGTTTGGGGAGAATGGCAGCTGAACGAGGGAGACCAAAAACCATCACCACTTTATCTGACTGGTAAGTCCTCCAGAAGACAGTTTCAAGAATTGGGAAAAAAAAGCACAGTATTTAATTGTACAATGAAACTATAATTTAGGTGATGAAGGGCTGGCAAGGAGAGAAAGGGAACAGGTTATTTCCCCAATATCAACTAGCCTTGGAATTGTGTCTCCTGGTAGGATTCTTTTGCCATATACATTTATTGTTATTATGTGAGAATGACCTCAGCGCCTAGTAATTATTACTGTAAATGTGTAAGCACTTCCGTATGACATTCCCACTGACACAGGGAACTAAAGCAGCTTTTCTTGGGTTTGGCCCAAGGATCCAAACAGGCAATGAATGACTCCTAGACAGAGTCAAGAAACAAGCATTGAGGGTACAGATCTCACGACACCCATGGGTCATTTACTTATTTATTTTTAAAGATTTTATTTATTTATTTATTTGACAGAGAAAGAGACACACACACATACACACAGTGAGAGAGGGAACACAGTGGGGGAGTGGGAGAGGAAGAAGCAGGCTTCCTGCTGAAGCCAGATGCAGGGCTAGATCCCAGGACCCTAGGATCATGACCCGAGCTGAAGGCAGATGCTTAAGAACTGAGCCACCCAGGCGCCCCTCCATGGACCATTTAAAGTAGCTTTTCTACTTGATCAACAATACGCATGTTAATTCTGATACAAAAAAATCACACTTTGCACCTTTGTAATCATCATCCCGTTCTATTTTTCTCGTGGTGGATATCCATTGTGTAGTAGATAATGAATTACAATATTGAAACAATTATTTCTGAAAGCAAGTTGATAATCAAGAAAATGATATTTCATCTACAAATGAATAGAATATGTTTCCCCGTGTTTTTTTTTTTTTAAGATTTTATTTATTTATTTGACAGAGAGACACAGTGAGAGAGGGAACACAAGCAGGGGGAGTGGGAGGAGAAGCAGGCTTCCCGCAGAGCAGGGAACCCGATGTGGGACTCGATCCCAAGACTCTGGGATCATGACCTGAGCCGAAGGCAGACTCTTAATGACTGAGCCACACAGGCACCCCTGTTTCCCCGTGTTTATGACTGTCTTTTCTTCCTCAATAGAGAAATTCCAGCTTGTGAGAGATTTTGAGTCTGCCAAACCAAATGTCACAGGTTGGGTGTCATTCCTTATAGCATTTACATTCAGTGAAACTTTATACTGACTGTTCTTTCATTGAAAAGATAGTGTTGTTTTGGGGCGCCTGGAGGGCTTAGTCCTTAAGCATCTGCCTTCTGCTCAGATCCTGAGATAGAGACCCCCGCACCAGGCTCCCTGCTCCTCAGGAAGACTGCTTTTCCCTTTCCCACTCTCTCTATTTGTGTTCCCTCTCTCGCTGTCTCTTTCTCTGTCAAACAAATAAATACAATATTTTAAAAAAAGAAAAGAAAAAAAGAACGATAGTGTTGTTCCCCTCTCCCACAATATAGTAAGTGAAAATTGCTCATTTAAATGGCATAATTACCAACTAGGGAATGTAGTTCCTCACCAATGAATTGGTACCATTAAGTTCTAGAACCTGTAGTTATTAAAATAAAGCAGACAGCCAGGAAAGAAAGTAAAGGAGAAACAGAGGAAGAGGAAAGAAGGAAGGAAGGAAGGAAGGAAGGAAGGAAGGAAGGAAGGAGAACGAAAATGGATTTTATATGAATGACTAAGAAATCATTTTTTCCAGGGCAAATACATAAATAAAAGATGTAGTTGGGTGTCAGATTCATGTGCCCAAGAAACAGCGTTTGACACCTGGACACATTAAAGCATTGATCGATCTGAGGCACCATTAGTGTTTTTTCTAGGTAACAACTAAATTTGCTGCTGGACGCATTCAGCCAGAGACAGAAAAGGTACATCCTGTTTTTACTAGAATTGCAGACAGGTCACATACACATGCAAATGTACATATAACGGGGAAGGCTATGAGGCCCGACGTGCCTCCATAGTGATATTTGGGTGTCTAATGTATATATCGCTTATAAGTAAAACCTGAACCACAGAATTATTCAGTCCATGACACATACACATAACATAATAATGAATGATTCCTATTCTTTTTGCTGAAGTTTGAGCAGCATGCTCATTTAAAGACTATACCTACCTTAATGTGGAAAACAGACTCTCAGATTGTCTCCACTAACAAGGGAAGAAGAATTTTTCAGAATCTTCTGTCTTTCAAGTATTAATGATGTTTAGAAAAAATGGAGTATGGCATGCAGATACTACACGACAGTGAGTAACAAGGCTTTTTAAATGGGAGGAAGAAAAAAAAAAACTGAGTGAAACATACAGCAGCATCCCCACAACATTTATAAGAACTTTCAGGGGCGCCTGAGTG